TGAGAATTCCAACGCAATTGCAGGCCGATAAAGACAATGTTCCCAGCTGCAAAAGCGACCCAGTTTCGCCCGTTTGCTGCTGAAAAGAACAGTTTATTAAAATTTAAAATTGAATTTTTTTTACATTTTCTTAGAAGCACTTGAACTTTTATAAATTTCAGTCACATAATGCAGCTATTTTTGAACTCAGCCAAATCCTTACTATGTTTAGCTTTGTGAAATTGAGTTGAAAGCGTTTCGAAGCAAGCATAATCAATCCCGGCGCAGTTGCCCGCATGGCAGCTGGCTCTGCGGTCCAGCAAATGACCAAAGGCTTGTTTGGGGAGGAATGCGGGCTCGGCAGTGGTGCCCATTAGCAGTGAATTTTTGGCAGTAAGCAGAGCAGCTCAGCCGAGCGAACATATTCACAGACTTACGCGCAAACCAGTTGACTGACATACATAGACAAACAGACTGGCGGGCGTACCGACGGGCTGTGGGTGCCTGCGCTTTTTGGGCCTTGAGGCTTAGAAGCCATGCGGACACATGCAGCTTGGCCTTATTGTTGTCGTGTGTGTGTGTAAAACATTTTATAGGCAAATCGATTTTTGTCTAAAGTGCCACAAACACGCACTACAGCAACAGCAGCAGCAGCAACGATAACAATAACAAGGACTTTTGCAACAATAACAATAAAGCGACACTGCGACAGCATAAAATAGAGATGTTGCGGGTGGCAGCTGCGGGGGGTCAGCTACATTTCCGGTCTGTGTATTAGCACAACAACTGCCACTCTGACCGTGGCCAACTGTGCGTGTGTCTCTGCGTGTGTGTGTACGTGTGTGTGTACGTGTGTGTGCTTGTGTCACGAGCGTTAATGTCAAGCGCTTCGGCCTCAGTCGCAGTCACAGCCGCTGTGCATTGGGCACGAGCTGCTACTCAATCCTTGCGATTCTTGTGCCACATCAAAGTCAAAGTCAAGACATAAGGCTAGAAAAAAAAGAGCCAGAGTGGTTTAGGGCCCGAGAGTGTTCGACTAGAAGATTCACTGCTTCAAATAAAATACAATTCACTCACAGCTTTATTTCCACACCGTTCCACCAGGACTATGATTTATATATATATATATATATATATATATATGTATATATATATGATCTCATGTATTTACAATGAGTGCAGGGTAAAAAGCACACAATAACAAAATACAAGCTCATATTTCCAAGCAGTTAAATCTGATTTCACTTTAAGCTCAATCTTTTGCTTGTTCTTCTATGCTTGGCAAATTAATGAAGCTCATTTGCAGATTGATGTGTTGCAATTATGCGGCAACAGCAACAGCAACAACAACAACAGCAATTACGATTAGAAGAAGAAGAAGCCCATAAAGCACTTAGCGCACAGATTCTGATTAAGTGCGGGCGTGCACGAGCGCCGGCTAAAATAGCCACGGTGTCTGGCTTTAAAGCTAAATAAAGCAGCTGTCAGCTTTAAAAGCAATCATCAACAAGAGGCCAAGTGACAGAAAAAGAGAGAGAGAGAGAGAGAGAGCGAGAGAGAAAGAGAAAGTGAGTGAAAGGGAAAGTGAGGAAGAGAGACAGCTATAAACATTCATTCATTTGCGGTCAGTAGTGCGTCAATCAAGGCAAATGCCATTGCCATTCATATTGAAGGCTCAGACACAGACAGACAGATAGAAAGACAGACAGACAGAGAGGGGCGCACAGGGGCAGACAAAGAAAGAGACACAGACACAGTCACAGACAGACATTATGACACGCACGCACGTATGCGCTGCTCCTTGTATCCTGTCAATGGTATTCGCCTTTGGTCCTGTTTTCTTTTTAATGAACGCTTTGACAATGCCTTCGAGTGCAACTAAACGAAAGGCAAACGAGGACGACAACTCTTGTCTGCGACTGTTTTTTTAGAGATGCGAATGTGTCACGACATTAGTGCAAAGCCCAAGTTGCAAACACACATGCGATAGTCGACGCAACTATTTTAATATATTTAAATAGTATTCAATTAAATGAACATTTTGTATAGTTTATTACAACATATGCATGTGCTTACATCGTATATGGGCCCGCTAAGTCGTGCTTTCTCATATATTTTCTCAATACGAGTACGCATCAAATCACATTCAACGTTTTCAGTTGTATTTTCGTGTTGATTTTATTAACATGCATTACACGAACACGCACGACATGATACGTCATGCATTGCAGCATTGCCCAATATTTTATTTATTTTACTTTATGGTATTTGCGTTTTGAATTTGTCAATTTATGCACGATGCAGTATTGTTAAGCACGTCTTGTTTTTTCGTGTTAGTTTTTATGTTGACTTCGTAATGTTGTACATGCACATACTTGACTTTTTTAACAGTCCGTTGACAAAAAGAGGGACGAGTAGTAACGCTTTTCGCAATTTTTTTAAATCAAAAGAAAGCACGACACTTGCCCAGCTCCAATTGAAAGTGCATGAGTGTGTGTGTTGACTCAAGTGTGGGCGAACGTCAATGCCAATGCCTAGTCGCCTCAAGTAGCACTATAATGAGTGTGGCTCTTGCCACTGCCAGCTGCCACACTGATTGCCGCACTGACTGCTGCTGCTGTTGCACTGATTGCCCACTGCCAATGCCAGCTGTCTGCAATGTAATTAAAGTCAAGTCATTGGCAGCCTCAATGGCAGCAGCAGCCGCAGCCGCTTAGGCTAGGGTCAAGTTGAGCGCATTTTTCTTGAATGCTGCGACCAGCCGCAATAAATGAGAAAAGTTGCCGTTTGCTTGTTTGTTTATTTGCTGCCTTTCATGTTGATAATTAAAAGGGGTTTCTGAAGAAGTTAATGCTGCGACTGTTTTGGCAGCTGACTTGCGGTTAGGCAATCACAAATCATAAATCTTGCTCAATTAGCTAAAGCAGCAACTGACGTCATGCACGAACGGTTGACTGGTTACCGCAGAACCCACAAGGACGACAAGGAGAAATAAGCGCATGACTCAGGCAAAGGCAAACCCAAGGGCAAGGGCAGGGCAGCCTCAAAAAGGAGCAAACGCAGAGCTACAAACGGGCGCTTAGCAAATACACACGCAATATCAATAACTTAATTAAGATAAATGCGAATTGTATTTGGTTAAAGACACACACGCACACACGCCCATTCACACACACACACAGTAGGCTGTTCGGCGCGTTGGTGTTTTTGGCCGGATATCCGTTAATTCTTGCGCTGCATTCGAGCTCAGCTCAGCTCGAGACCCACAAATCGTTGTTAACATTAATGCGACGCGTGTTTAGCTTTGTTTATGTGCCTCTGACAACAAAGACACACAGTATAAACACACATACACACGGATACGCACACAATTAATTTATATACTCATGTGCACGTTTCGCCCATGTGAAAAATGTATAATTAGTTAATTGCGGGTCGTGTTGGCAGACAATTGAGCATAAATTTATGTTTATTTTAGTTATTAATTAAATGCGCCACATTGTTCATTTGCAAAAGCATCTAAAACTGTAACCGTAACCAGTAACCCGAGGGCAGAGCTCGGCAGTTGGAAAGTAGATAAATATATAGAAATGCCGCAATTGCTGTGCACACTTCCGGCAGTTAGCCAAGGACCTATGTGTGAGTGTATGTGTTTGAGTGCGTGCTTGTGTATGTTAAGCGACATTAAATCAGGGACTGTAAGGTGTCGTTTAAACACGTCGTTATCTATTACAGTGGTCTAATCAGATTAATTTTTTATATAGCAGTACTGTAGTTATTACTTTTTAATGATAATAGTTATTAGTATTATTTTTATTACTATTATTACTATTGTTACTATTATTAATATTGTCATTATTATTATTATTATTATATAGTTATTATTATTATTATTATTATTATTATTATAATTATTATTAAAAATAATAATAATATTATTATTATTATTATTATTACTATTATTATTATTATTATTATAATTATAATAATTATATATTAAATATTAAATATATAATACTTATATTAAATATTAAATATATAATAAATATATTAAATATAATAATTATAATTACAATAAAGCTTAAATTAAACAATAACTATAATTATTATTAATATTAATTTAATTATAATTATAATAATAATTTATATACATGTATATTTAAAATTAAATATTTATATTTATAATTATAATTATATTAATTATATAACTAATAATAATAATTATAGTTATTGTTGAATTGAAGCTTTATTGTGCATTAGGAATTCATAACCTTGAAGATTTAGAGTTACAAGCATTTACTGCACATTATTATTTGCTTAAATCAAATAAAGTTTTTATTTAAGCTTAAGGGATATCAGTATTTCTTCTAATCCCAGCTTCTCCCTTATATTTAATCGATTCGGTGTTTATTTAGTTCAAGCTTTCTACTAATATCAGCTTCACCCTTCTAGTGAAACGATTCGGTGTTTACTCAGTTGAAGATTCCTACTAATCCCAGCTTCTTCCTTCTAGTGAATCGATTCAACAACCTCTGCTACCTCTTCAAATAGATATTTTCCATTCTCATATTCTGAATAATTTGGTTTCATTTTGAGGCAAGCAGGAGTCGATGCGGAGAGTGCTTTCTTGATTAAGTTTGTTTCTGTTGTACTTCTTCAATTTAACCACCGCATAGCTCTATTAATAAAAACAACAGCTAATAGCTACTGACATTTGCATCATAATCATAATAGAAGCGCGCACTTTTCTGCCTAAACTAATTAACTTGTGCATGATTCAACATGCTAATCAAAACTTTCACTTGCCATTGTATCCCAACACAAATTATGTGCCATGAAAAATGTTTGATCCCATTTTCTGGGCAAGTTGCTTAACCGTATTTCTGGCAGACACGCCAAAGTCGCACATTAATTTCTGATAATATTCGAAGTTCTGGCTTAACACGACCGTACTTTTCGCATTAGGCGCCTCTAATGAGTTTTCCGAGCTGTTGCTTTGTAATGTTGTTAGCGCTACTTACTTGATCTTCTCCCATATTTCCTCGTCGAAATATTTGAGCACCAGCAACTCCAAAGCGTAGTTAACAAAGCCATACTGCAAATAAAAATAATAATGGAAATACGTAAAGAACAGTGTTTTAGTTTATGAAAAAGGGCGCATCATTATATTATTGCGCAGCATAATATTTATGCTAAATATATGGTGCATATTCGTGTACAGTATTATTATTGTCTGGTTTTCATTTATCTCAATGCGAAAATTTAACTGGTAAGTGGCCAAACGCGGCGGCCCTTCAGAAATTACAGAAACATTTTTATGGGCACTCAAAATGAAATCATAAAAGTGCCAGCATAATTGAATGCTGGCAACATTTTAATTACACTTGCAGGGAAAATAAGTGATAATAAAATGGAGTCCAGCTAACACTCAGCAAAAAAAAAGATAATAATAATAAATTGCTAAGTAAAGCGAAAAAGTCGTTTAAGCTTTTTTTTTGGGGCCAGCTCGTTGTGAAAAATGTGAAATCAATGAGGATTGCGCATTTCATTTCTTTTAAATGTATCCCATAAGCAATCAATTTGATTTGTTATGCGAAATCAAGCACAGGCGCACACACACACACACATAGACACACGCTGACACACGTAGTAACATGCCTATAGAGCTCTGCAAGATGGCGCACAATCAATCGCTTCCGCCGGAAGTAATGTAAAGCAAGCAAGGAGAAATACTTGAAATATATTTACATACATTACGCAAACGTCTAGTGTCCTCCACCCAGCTCATGAGCTGCCTGATGAAGATGTATCTAACCGATATTTGATGTTTATTGTGTTTGTTGCGCATATATTGAAATGTTGCAGCAACAACAAAGCATTAGCAACAACAACAACAACAAACCTAAACCAAACAAACAACAACTTGAGCCATGCAGCTGATGGAAACGTTGCTACACGTGGGCCACAGTTCGGCGTAATTTGAAAATAAAATGGAAAAACATGCGAAGAAATGCGAAAATCGCTATCATTAAAAGCGAACGCTTCTGATATGGTGTGCGCGTGTGTGCGTGTGTGTGTGTTGTGTGTCTGTGTGCGCGACATGTCAACACGGGAACTTTGTTTGCCTTGTCATTGAATTGATTCGCATAGCAAGTTGAGTTCTATCATTGTCCTTGGCATTTAATATGCCTTGCCGTTAAGATTTTTAAAGACTGTTTTTTTTTTAATTTACATACCTGAAATACATATATCGCTTTATCAGCATACAAGAATTATGTTCATAAAATAATTGAACTACATTCAAATAAAAGTAAATATTGCGGTCCCTGTTTGAATTCTAAATTAAAAATTTTACAAACAACAATTTACTGACTATCTTTTCCTTCCTTTATCTACATTCAGGTTTATAAAATAGTGTGTCCTGGCTGATTGCCTGAATGACTGGTAATCAAACCACAGCACGACAAGTGTAAACGGGATTTTACGAGGCTGCTTGGCTTGGTAGTCTGAGCGGGAGGTCGTCGGCTCAACTCCAGCAGCAAAGGTCTATTAAATTTTTGTAATTATTCACAAAGATAAAGAGCTATAATTATAAATTAAAAGAGAAAACAAAGAAATCAAAAATGAATTAATGTTAATAGTAGTGTCAGACGGGTACAAAGTTTACGGACCGAACCCCCGTTAAGACGGAAGACAAGTAATATATATGATAAGAATAAATGAAATTAAAGTATAAAATATGTGCCTTTGTTATCCCAGCGATAAGTTCAATGATTGTTTGTCTCATTTTATTTGTTTGTGCTGTTTGGAAAAGTACAAAGGAATTTATTAGATCCATCAAAATATTATTTTAGATCAATCATTGTCATGTATATATAAATATTTATGCATCCGCTCCACTATCTCAACATGTTTTGCTCGGCCCGAACATTTTACTTATTTACTGTGTTGTGATAGAATTTTCTATTCGTTTCTTTTTCATTTCTCCATTTTTTTTTTTTGAAGCGTTTGCAGTTTTTTATATGAAAATTAAATTTGTCATTTCGAGTCGAGCCAACAATTAATTATTCGCATAAATTGATGACATACTATTTGACTTAGCTTTGAGCCTATACAACCATGAATTAAATATATATTCAATTTAGATACGAATGCAATCTGAATACAGAATACACAAACTTACCATTTTAGCAGTATATTTGGTTATTTTTGGAAATGCAAAAATATTTGCTGGCGTTTTAATTCACTTGCACAAATATGTTGATCAAATGCGATTCATAACGTATTCAATATTTAATTGCAATGCATTTGAGAAAAACATTGTTTGTTAGTATTAAGATCTGCACAATAAATATTTTAATTTAATATTATTCTTAAATTTTTCATTTTTAGATCGAATACGTCAAAAAAATGTATTTTAGCAACACAAAAGTTGTTCGTCAACTTTAAGGATTGCTGTAGGGCGCTCAGCTGTCACGAGTTTAGCACCAGAAATGCCACAAAGGACATGAATATTTCATGAATTTCTACATTGAAATCGGCTTAACAATGTTTTCAGCTCTGTATTTGGTTCCGGTTCGTTTCGTATTCGGTTTTAAATTTTGTTGGCCTTTGCTTTTATTTATATTCGCCTGGTGGAGCTGCTGGCCAGCCCCCTTGCATATGTTTAGGGACCACGCCTGGCTGTTTTTTGAAAAGGACGAAATGCTAATCAAATATTCGAATGAGTGCAAGTGAGCTCTCAAGGAGCTTAGCTCGTAGAATTTCCCAACAACAGTTGCTACAGCAGTTGTTGTGCCATTTGCTGACGGCTTATTGCAGCTGTTATTGCGTACTTGCATGTTTGTTGCATGCCACATGCAACACGTGCAATAGCCAAAGGCGCACACAGCCAGCACAACTGGGTCACAACAAAGGCATGCAAGGAGCAGCCAAAATGGCAACAGCAATCGGCCCAAAGGATGCAGAAGGCTGCTTAATTACACATACGCACACACATACACAAAGACGAATGAATATGTGTGTACTAGCGACTGTGTGTGTGGCAAGTCAAGCGTAGCACCAAATTTATGCGCGGCGCCAAGTGTGCGGCAATTAAGGCGTCGACCATTTTGAAGTCAGCAGCGCTGCAAAATGAACACTTTGAGGCATGCAACTAGGCAGGATCGTTGCCATAAAGCAATAAGAATAAGAAGAAGCATTGCTGCATATTTGACTGCATAAAGGGATATGCCCAGTTTGCCAAGTCAACTTTAAGACAAATGCCACTTGGGGCGACCACAAAAGTTGGAACAAGTTTTTTTAAAGCTCAAAGTAAAATATCGATTTTTATCTTGTGTGTGTGTGCGTGTTTGTGTGTGAGTGTATGTGCCATTAGCGAGCTCGTTAAGGTGCATGCCCCGGCTTTTTATATATACATCTTCTATATATATATATATATATATATATATATGTATATATGTGTGCATATAATCTATAGTTATTACAGCTTTATATAGGGCTGCGTCTCATTGTTTAACTTTTGCTTGTGGTCCCGCGTCACATTTGTCGCTTATCGCTGTCAACCTTTGGCTCAGTTGTTTACTTTGAGCCGATTTGCTAACTGATTTCGCCGCTTATTGCATATTAATCAGATGAATTTAGCACGGCGAATGAGGTCGCACTTCACCTGACAGTCAACCCCCTAGGCTAACAGGCAACACCATAGATCCACAGCTGCTTGCCACCCGGCTCGAGTGGCTTCCAATTCAGCGAATTTTAATTACGTGCAACATTTGACATTTTGGTAAACGGGAGGCGACTTGGCAGCGGAAAAGTGTGAATAGGGTTCGAGTGGCATTGAGTGCTGTCAACTGTTTGTTGTGGCTTAAGCAATGGTAATTTTAAATGGGCTGGGGGCCTGCTTTATAAACGTTTTGTCAACCAAGTGCTGCACGAAAGTGCCACGCACGCAAATGTTATTCAACTGTAAAAACTAAATGATATTTTTGCTCGTTACTTGCGCACAAATCGTCTGTCAATTTTGGCACTAAACGTACAATAACTGAGTAAATGATGAGCCGGTCATTAGGCGGCCTGAAACTCATTTCATAATGAGCCAAAACCGGGGCAGACAAAGCGTCAGCTTAGTTTGGGCCACGGCCAGTTGAATTGGGCAATTGTATGTTCAACTGGGCACACATTTATCAAAACTAATGGACGTTTTACTATCCACGCAGACAAAAAGAAACAACGACAACAACAACTCGGAACAACTGTCCACAAATTGCCGCGGGCACGCAAAGCCAAATGTCTAATAAACTTTGACATATTGAGGCAAATATTTCTATACGTTTTGTTTCAACGTTTTGTCCACTTGTGTTATTGTAATTTTTTTGTGAATACCAACAACAAAAACCAAAAAAAAGAAGCAAACATAAATTGTAGCACGCCCCTTGCCGCCCCGCCCTGTGGGTTCGTAGAGACAATTGCGAATGAAATATGCGCACCGAAATATATTAGAGCCCTCAAAAGTATGCTTTAATTTTTGTACAAGACCGCGTTGCGCACACGCCGCATTAGCTGAGTCCTTTGGCGGGTTTCCTTATTATTTCTTACTATTTATATACATTATTTTTTTTGCTTTTATTATTTAGCGCCTCTCAATGTCTGCCTTATTTATTTGTGCATATGTATTGTCTTCACTACGCGCCTTTGTTTTATTTCTGGCTAGTGATTTATTTGTCTTGTATTTTAGATTTGACTTTCAATTCAGTTCCTTGCCTCACACACCCACACACACATAATTACAGACACACAAAAACACACTCACAACTTTCACGTTCGACTGTTTTTTTGATAAGCGAAGCGCGCGCGAGCCTACTTTGAGTAGCCTTTTGGTCAGAATATGCGAGCGCAATGCTTGAACAGTTCGCTTGAAGCAGCCATCGACGACTGAGCAGACGCCGCTTGATGCTTGTTGTATTAAAGGACAACGCAGCCAGGCGCTAGGACACTTGTGCGCTTTTCCCAAACTGCCACTGGCTCGCTGGCTGTGTCAGTTCCTGTCGCCTGCCAGCCGCTTGCCAGTTTGCCAGACTCACGCTCAGCTGTTGGCTAAAAAGCTGCCAAAAGCTCTCTCGCGCGCGCTCTCTATTATGTCAGCTGCAGCTACTGGCATATAGATGGCGCTATTGACACTTAAGCCATGGTCTTTATAAAACGTACATAAATATTTTTAAATTGCTCATATCTTTTATTAGTACAATAGTCGTTGCTTAAGATTGTCTATATGTCTTTTGTGGTGTATCAAAATATTTTATTTTTTCTTATAAAATTATAAAATTCGTGATCACATTTCAAATGACATTTAAAATTGACCTGATCAGTTTAAATTTGCATCAATCGGTTGCTACTAAAAGTTTTATTACGCACTTTTTCAATTATGGCACACAATAATGTAATAAAATGTTTTGCGGTGTTTGTACATATTGTTACTACGCTTTTTGCTCTGTATGCTACAAGTATATGGGTATATTAGCTTTAAGGCAGCCGCATCAGCCGAAATGTATAAAGATACATTATAATCTGTGAGGCTCTTGGAGGCTTCTTTGAAAAAGCGATCAAATAGCTGTTTAACTGACCCATTTACTACTTACTATCAAGAAAATCACGCTTCAAAACTCTTAGTCTATGGTTACATTAATGAGAGAGTATCTGTCAGTCACAAGCTGGACGCCTGCCGCATTTTTATTTTTACTAGTTTTAATTCAGCTTTTATTTAACCCACGTTGAAAGGCTGCAAGTGCAGCCGCAGCGACCACAACAAAAGTCAGCTGCGATGTCTGATAAACGTCGGCATAAAGCCAACGGCAGAGCTGCCACTGACGGACGGACAATGGCGTTGACACTGATGGAACGAGCCTTGAATAGAGAGAACTGAAGCCAGGTATAGCCGGGGCATTAGCGCCAGCAGCAGGCAGCAGACTATTTGAATCACAGCTGAAAGACGCGGCTACAAATAATATACCCTTACTCGGCTGGTCCTACAAGAGAAAAAAAAGTATGCGATGCTTAAAAAGACACAAAGTCACAAATGAAGAGCACTTGAGCATAACACGTCAGTCGTTAAATGCACGCAACAGCTAGCATACCCAATTGAATACCCTACAAGTGTGCGGAAAGTGTTAGGGTAAAAAGCTGCTGGCATATTGTTCGAATGAAATGGTGCGTTAGGTTTTTTCTAATCAAGTGCAGGTCGCAAAGATGGTAATCTGTATGACGTTTAATTAACAAGCAAGAAGCAAGCGAAGAATTTACGCTACGAACCAAATAGTCCCTCAATCGCAGTGTAACACACACACACACGCACACCAGCTAACTGATAATAATGGTATCTGACTATGTGACCAGCTCTTTAGAGGTTGCGCATAGAAACAAAGGACAAGTGCAGCAAGGATAATCGCATCACACTTGAGTAAATAAATTCCTGAAGTGGAACCAACCAAGCATCCAGGGCACTTCACTGAGCCAAAAACTTGTAACCAGCTGTCTAAGCGGGATGCACAGCCTAATGCTAGGAGCCAGCTAACGCCCACTTCTCGCTCTACTCCTGGTTATCAACGATATTGTTTACCATACACAAAGGTATTGCTGTGCTATGAGGCGTATAGCTGGAGTGAAATTAAAGGGAGAGAGAGGAAGGATTAGGTTGGATAAAAGAAGTTGCATTTCAACGGAGTCCGAGTTAATGACAAACGAAGAAGCAACTGTTTATCTTATAGCAAAAATATATTACACAAGCCTCGCTTGGCTAGGCAGCTGCTTGACCCTTTTGACATCATTGATTTAATATTTAACCAGCAGTCTGGCCAGCGGCACTCGCAACCATTTGTGCAATCAATCAGATACAAAGGCATCAACCTTTACCTCTCTTCATAATTAAATACATAGCAATTATTATTTTAATTTCTAAATCAGCTCAGAAACATTTAATTTACATTCCACAAATGTTCAGCGCTTATATCAAATTAAAAAGCGAACAAATATTTATGATTATATAATGCGAAAATATTTTCAGCGAAAAAAATACTTGTATATATTTGAATGCTTGTACATTACCACACCCTATAATATTACTATTCCCCTAATAATAAAAAAATGCAAGCACAGTTTTTGCTTATCAAAGACGAACAGAATCAGGGCTGGAAACCCAAAACATATATTATATATTTAGATAAGAGCTTTGGACTAGGTCTTCACCAATCAATTTGTATTTTAAACGAAACAACCTTTAAAGGGAAATATAATTCAGTTTCGCTTGATTGTTCTTGTTCGATTTAAGTTTAGGTGCAAAGCAAACTATAAATTTAAATTTCGGACTCGAACGGGCTTAGTTCAACATCGCCTTGCCTTGAAGACAAAACTTTTTGATAATAAAAAGTACAGATACTATATAAGACTTTAAAAACTTTACATTTTATAAATTCTGTAAATACCTAAAATACTATAAAACTATAGCACTATAATCCATAAAAAGTACCTATAATACTATAAATATATAAAATACCATAAATGTTATAAATAAATAATAAGTTATCAATTTGTGTGCAATTGTTTGTTTAAATGTCTATTTGTAATAAGCAATTGTTCCAAGAGACCATAACCACAAATTTTGTATGTTATGTGTTTACGGTTAAAGCACTCTAACACATTTTCGTTCATTTGGTGCTTATTTATTTTATTTTATTATATTTGTAGATAATTAAAACACAAATGATTTGCTGTTCTTTTACCGACTGCAAATTTATGATTTGCTTAAATTATTAATTGGGGCACAAACATATTCTTATATGTGCCTTAGACTGCCAGTCATTTGAGCTGAGAAACCATTTTATTTACTTGCATTTCTGCACTGGATTTTGTTCGTTCCAATTATTTGCGATTCAGCAAGTTTTATTGCATTTGAATGCACATCTTTGCACTTTTCGCATTTTGATATTGCACAAATATTTGAATATTCTGCAAAATTTCACAGTCCAACTGCAGGTATGGATCACAGCAGCACAACGGGCAGGACTGACTGCTTCCTGCAGTTGACCAAAACATGCGACAGCTAAAATGTGCAACTGGCTGCAAAATGGGCAAAGGCAAATGGAAACCAACAGCAACAACAACAGCAATCAAATGTATCATTAGTTTGCATTCGTTGTTGTACCAGCTTGTAAGATGGTTTAATGAGGATGACATAAAGAAAATACATTTCTTTGGGAGTGACCAGTAGTCAACATGTGAGAGTTGTCTGTAAAATATCTTTAAAATTTAACTGTATAAAATGATTGAGCATTTAGAAATATTGCAGTTGTAAATTAATTAATGATAAATTATATACCGAATCGGTTCGTTGCGCAACCATTCATTCACATAAGTAGCCCTTAAATTACTCTTTATCGTAATTGGTAGGTAGCGATTTTGTATTTGTACATTTCAGAAGAATTAATTTCAGCCCAATTTGTAGTTGTACTATTGAAATTTTGAAGATTGTACAAACCAAGGTTTGAATCTGAGTTAATAAATATGGAGCACAAGTTTGTGAACCGAATTCCAAGGAGGGAGTTGTTTCAGCCCTAATATACCATATTATAATATATAATATGCTAGCGGATATAACCCGGCCTTGCCCGTGGCACGTATATTATAAAATCAATGTTCTCAAAAATATTTGAAATGATTTTGAAACTGATCGGACGGTAAACAACTTTCATATGTACAAACGTTTTCCTCCAATTTACCACTGTTGCGAGTGGAATTTCCCAAATCGCTGAAACACGTATTCATTATATTCTTATGTGGAGCTTTGCAAATAAATTTGAAGCAAATCGGACACAACTTAAAACTTCGCACAAAACATCTTTGAATTGCATTCCCCCCGAAGAAGTTTGAATTCTGCGAAAAGTGTGAAACACGTCTCAAATGATTTTTTTTCTTATAGATCTCTGGAAATGAATTTGAGCGCGAAACGTCACCCACCAAATCTTTGACCTTCATTTCCACCAAGGAGGAATGGATTTTCCTAAAAGTGTGAAACACCCCTCAAATGAATTTGAACAAAGACCTTTGAAAATAAATTTGAGGCCAATCGGATGGTAAACAAAAAAGTTATATACAATAGTTTTTCGCGATTTTTCCACACTTGCGGGTGGAATTTCCCGAAACCCCGTCTTAACGTGCACCTACATCACATGAGGTAACTACAGTGAAAATTTCAGCTTCCTAGCTGTTACGGTTACGGCTGTGAGTTGATCACCAATCAGTCATTCAGTCAGTCAGTCAGTCAGTCAGTCAGTCAGGACAAACAGTTTTATATATAGAGATAGTCAATATTAACCTTTTTTTTTTATTATTCAATTTGATTTACAATGCGCCAGAATCGATCAGTTTACATTGAGAGCTATTTACATCGATGGGATAATTACAATGAAGTCGATTGAGGACGTAGGTTAATACTGTAAGGTATTGAAACCTTTGTAACCTTTGGAGGCACCTCTCTGTGATGGGATCAGCACGGAGCCTGGCGAACGCGTTCAGGTACAGCAGGACATCGGCGTAGCAACTACTGAAGATCTTGATCTGATCACCAACCTTTGTAAGGCGGAGATTGCGTTCGAGGGCATCGTAACGTTTGTAACGTACCATGGGGTGCCGGGCAACTTCCGTGCTGTTTTGGGTTGGACTGTCCCTATTCGATACATAAAACAGAGCCAAAAACCATTTTATTTTGAAATGATTTGACACCATGTTCACAAAGTAAACAGGTACAATTATATTGATTTAATGTCCAGCGTGGAGTTCCAGATTATGAATTTAAATATTAATCTGTTTTCAAGTCTTAAGTAAGTATGCATAAAAGTTTGTTGCGATGAAGACACAAATATAAATTGTCGTATATTGAACACTGCTTAAGATTAATGTGGACCGCACGTGGTCTTGTTGCTTTTAACAGCTTGTCCAAAATTGTGGTCCATTAATTAAATTCGAGTAGTTAA